GCAAGGTGGGGAAGGGGCGGGAAAGCACGGAGGAGCAAAGAAAATGGAGGCGGCAGGGGTGCCAGCGGCGCCCGATCGGGGGGGGGGGACACGAGGAACGGAGAGGGGGAAGAGGGACCCGCGGGAAAACAGAACGAGAGAGACGAGCGGGAACATGGGGACGGGAGAGAGAGGGGCAGCGAGCCAGAAGGGCGTCGGTCGGGAAGAGGGGGGGGGGGAAGGACCGAGCAGCGAAGAGAGGAGCGTCCGTCGACCGCGGGCATCAGCGAGGGGAGCTTGGGGAAGAGCGCGACACTCCGGCCGCGCGCCGGCCCCGGCCCCCCGGCCGCGAGCGCCCCGCAGGCCGCCCTCGCAGCTGCGAGAGGCGCCACAGGGGGGGGGGGAGGGGGCAGGACAGAGAGAGAGAGGAGAGAGGAAGAGGAGGAGCAGGAGAGGGAGGACGAGCACGAGGAGGAGGAGGAGGAGGAGGAGGAGGAGGAGGAGGAGGAGGACGACGAAAGGGAGAGGGAGGAGAGCGAGGGGCGGAGTGGGCGGCCACAGGGCGGCCGGGCGAGGATCGGGGCCACTCTGGGGCCAGCGCGCGCCCACGCGGCGGCGCCGGCTTTCTGCGCGCTCTGGCGCGCGCGCCTCGAGGCAGTAGGAATCAAAAGGCGCGGCCTCGGGGCGTCCCCGACAGCGGCCCCAGGAATGCGAACGACGGCTCAGGCGTCCACTTTGCTCGTGGCCCGCAGGGGGGGGAGAGGGGGGCTGGCGCTGGCGCGCCAGCCGCTGAGCGTCGATGAAAGCTCGGGGCCGGCAGGGAAGGCTGCCCCCATGGCGACTAAAAGGCCGGAAGGCCTGTTGCAGGGCGTTCCAGGCCTCTTGCGCTCTGTGGCACCCGTCGATCAGCGGCGCTGAGTGCTCCTGCACTTGTTGAAGGGAGCGTTTGTACACTGGCGGCGAGAGCGGCCTCGCGACCCCTTTGTTGCCGGCCACTAGTCGTCGCGAACTCCTGCGCGGGGTCTCGCGCGCGGCCCGCGGGTTGGGCGGCCGCGCTGGCCCAGTAGCCGTCGCCCCGAAGCTCGCGGCCGCCTCCGTCGAAGCCCGGAACCCCTGGTGGGCCGACTGAGAGGACTGGCTGCCTTGCGCGCGGCGCGCGGCCATCGTGCTCCGGCGCCCCTGGGAGTTTGAGGGCTGAGCGTCAGCCGACTCAAGTCGGGGAGACGTAAGACCCGGGTACGGGGGACTCGGAAATCCCCGACGAGGTCGTCAAAAAAATGACGAGGCCGAGCCTGCATTTTGACGAGGCCTCCCGCTGCAGACATCCCACGAAACTCCTCCTCGTCAAAATCCGAGGCGTGGTCGTCAAAAAACGATGGCGAACCCGAGTCCTGGCAAACCCGGGTCTTACGCTCCCCCGATCAAGGGAGCGACCCATGGCTGCGTTGCCATGACCACGTGGGCGACGGCGCCGGGGGAGATTGCTGTCTTCGTCGCCGTCGGGGGAGGCTCCGAGCCCGAGCGGGTCGGAGGCCCCCACCTCCGAGACCATCCGCGGGCGGGGGCCGGGGGTCGCCCAGTGGACCGACAGGATCGGGGCCCGGTGGCCCGCTCATGGGAGGTGGTCTCCTTGCGCGCTTGGGCCGCGCCCCCCAAGCTCCCCCCTGGCCAGTGGCAAGCGGGCGTGGCGCCTTCTTGCAGAACTCTACACCCTGCGAAGTGCTCAAGAAATCATGGGTTAAGAACTTCATAGTCTCAGAAGTTGAATAAAAGCCGAACATTTCTGTTAACATCGAAAGATTTACATCGAAACGTTAAGAATAATCGAGACTCTGGCCGAAAACTCAAGTTTTCTTAAGCATCGCCTAAGGTGTAGTCTAGGGCGCCTGGCTCTCCCGCGGGGGGCGGCAGCGCCCGGCGGCGCAGGTCGCGCGTGGCGACGGCCGCGGCGCGGAAAACCGCGGCGAGCTTGCGGCGCCATTTGGCGGCGTCGGCCACGCCTCGCGGGAAGTGGCGGGGCCTCGCTCTCGAGGCGGCGAGTTCGTTAGCATGCTGGCGAAAAGCTTCGACAGTCGGAGAGATGCGCCAAGCGTCGAGGCCTTGCCTCCCCAAATATGGTAATCATCCTCCGAGGTGTGGAACACGTCCCGTCTCGTGTTGAGCACCCTGTTGATCACATGCTGTGATTGGCTCGCGGCCCCGCACGCACTGGTGAGATTCCCGTGAGCAGGTCGGTGAACGCGTCGGCTGGACGCTTGTCTTCCGCTCACGCGGCTAGGGCTCCCAACTTCGCGCTTCGCGCTGCGCGAAGCGCGAAGCGCGAATAACTTCGCGCTCTCGCGCCGCCCCCCCAGAGGGAGAATAGGAGGACGAGGAGGAGGGGGGAGAAGGAACGAGGACCGCGAAGCGCGAAGCGCGAATAACTTCGCGCCCTCGTGGGAGCCCTTGTGGACGCTTGTCTTCCGCTCGCGCGGCCTTCCTCTTGTCGACGACGGGGGCCCGTCCGTGGGCCCTCGGGCATGCGTTGGCACGGTGCTCTCGGCGCAGTGGACCTCCGCGGCAGACTGCAGGGGCCCCAGGACACGCAAATAAGTACACACGAACAAAAAGATTCCCCATATTTTCCTATACTTTCTGGGTTTCCGTCTTCCCCCCCACTTCCCATATGTTCCTATATTTTCTGAGGGATCGACGATGAATTGTGTCTGTGTGTTTTTGTTCCCTCCTGACAGACAGGTTCCCTCGCGGTCTTGGCGGTCGTCGGGCGAGTCGAGAACCGGCCGCCCAGGCGCGCAGGCCGCGCTGGAGATCTGTCGACCTTCCCAAAGGGTCACATGGTGGGGAATGGCTGTGGGATCGAGCAGATGCTCTTCCATGATCCTTTCGACGTCGAGCTCGTCGCCGCTGCTATCGACTGGCGAACCGATAGGGCCTCCGCCCGCAAAGCCGCACGAGATCCTTGCCAGAGGTGCTCTTAGCTCATGCGTCGCCAATGGGTGAGGTTCCGATGTGCGTCCCCGGCAGGAGAACCCATATTCGAATCCCTAAGTCAGATAGGCAATCGAAATAAATCGGATCAGAGGAAATCGGTAGCCGATTCGGGAAAAGTCGACTCGGCGGAAAATCGACAGTCTAGTAGGCCTCCATTGAGAAATCGGCGCCCAGATCGGAATCCGCAACCGACTCGAATCGGAATCGGAATCTATCGAAATCGAATCAGATCGAATCGGAAGAATCGAAATGAGTCCTGCCCTGGTGAGCCGATCCTGAGAGTCGGGTTCACCCAGTCCGCTGGAGCTCGAAGCACATGCGTGCGGGCTCACGGTCGTCGTGGTTGTTCGCCTCGTCCTGGAAGCTAGCGGCTCGCTTGCGCCCGTCTTCGCTTGGTTTTGGCAGCTAGGCCTGAGCAGAGCAGGCCAATGTCGGGGGTTGTTGAAGGTGCCCTTGGCCCGAGGTGCCCCCAGCTTTTAGCTCAATGTTGGAGCCTCTGGGGCCCTCTTGGCCTTGTGAGGGGGGCTCTGGAGGCCGTGGGGGCCTCCTTGGAAATACTGGGGGCACCTTGGGCCAGGGGCACCTCTAGCAACACCCTGCAATGGCTCTTTCCGTGGCAGTAATGCGTGAGTCGCGGTTTGCTGGTGGCGTGTCGTCTCGCGCTGGCGCCAGGGAGGACTGTCTCCATTTCAAGCGCTGCCGGGGGAAGGGTACAAGCTCGTGCGCCAGCCGCTGCCTCTGTGCTTCGTTGAAATTGGCGGGCCTTGGTGATATGCCCACCTCCGTAGGTCCCAGTAGGGGTACGTTAGGGAAAACACAACCTTTAAATATTGTCCTATGGTGCCTGCGCGAGAGCCACCCTCTTGCAGTGTGACGGCCACGTAGCGGTATGCCTGTGGGGCCTGCCTCGTTCACCATAGCGTGGTCCTTGGCAATCTTCCCGTCGAGGAGGTCCGCCGCATTGCATGTGACGTCGGTGACTCCTGCTGTGACGAGCGCCTGTGCGTGGTCGCCGGCTCAGCTCGTGTCCCATAGCCTAAGCACTCGGGAAGACGCCTCTTCGAGGCCCCAGACGTCCCTTCGGACGGAGAGCTGGAGGACCCTCGGGTAGGCATGCCTGGCGGGGATGGTGGCCAGAGTTGAGGCTTTGGACGTCGGCTTCGCCGTCCTCAGTGCCGACTGGGGCAGATCTGGCCTCGCTTACAAGCATGTCTCGGGGATGGGCAGACCCCGCTTTAGTAAAACGTGGTTTAGTGAAAACGGCCACGGCGCCAGCCCGAGAACCGAAAACGGACAATTCACTAATCGACGTGTCACTGTTGGGGGTTCTGTTCACCCCCGAATGTCGATGGGGCCTTCCGCCTCGGGGTGTTCGGCCATCCTGTCACGGCCGTGCGCGATGGGGGGTGCCTTGGGCCGTGTGCACGGGTCGACGCGGTCTCTTGTGACTTCGCGCCTCGGGGGGGTGGGAGGGTACAGGGCAATTTTTAAGACATCGGATTTCTGAAAAAAAAGGATTTAACAAACATGATGAATGTATAAATAGATGTACGCATGAACTCATCGTTGTTTTTAATACTAAATCCCTGCATGCTTTATCCATGATCCGCACGCGGAGCATGTATTAAAAACGGCACTGTAGAGGGGCTCCTCGAACTGCCCCTTCCGTGCGCCCACACGAGGCCCCGCCGAAGAGCGAGACCTGACCGGAGCAGGCGGGACCGCCCACCGACGAGTCGAGTCGGCAATCTGGGGCTGGTCCCAGGAAGGCACAGCAGCGCCGCACTGCCGAGGCACCGGCAACGCGGTAAGATCCTCGAGCCTGCCTGCTGCGGCTCCCTCCAGGAGGCCCCTAGCCCTTCAGCACGATCCCAGAGCGAGCAATGAGGCGGGAATGAAGGAGAGGATGGGGGAAAGGACGAGGGGGGTTATCGACGAGGAAGGGAGGAGCAGGAAGGAGAAGGGACCAGGAAGGCGGGAGGGAGTGAGCGGCGAGGAGCGAGGAGGGCACAGGGCGGGTGGGCGAAGGACTCCTCGGCAAGAGCCTCCGAGACCCGCAGCAGCGTCGTGGTTTCTCTGCAAGGCGAGGGCGCCCCGGAGCCCACGGAGCCCCATCCACGGGACCGACCCCTCGCCCTGGGCAGCGCTCTCATTGCCCCCGGGGCCCGAAACAGACCCCAAGATTAGGAAGGAACTACTTGGAGACTTCCGTCGGAAAGATTGAGGATCAAGCCCCTTTTGGGAGCTGTTACGCCGGAGTGGGCCTCGGATTAAGCGGGATTAAGCCAGATTGAGCGGGATTCAGCGGGATTAAGCCCGATTTCGGGCCAGGGCAAAATCAGAATTTGACCTCCCAGGAGTTGCATCCAACAAAAACGTGGGAAAGCCGGCCTCAGTGAATCTGGCTCGTGACGCCAGAGGTCTTGGCCGAGACGACGAGCAACAATAGGACTCAATCCGGCGACACGTAAGACTCGGGTTCGGGGTCTCGGGTTGAGCTGACGGGGGTCAACAAGAACATGACGAGACCCAATCTGACTTTGGACGCGAGCTCCTGCTGCACACATCCCACGAAAACTGGACCGTCAAAATCCAGCACGCGCTCGTCAAGAACCGTCGGCAAGCCCAGGATCCGGCGCACTCGAGCCTCACGTTCCCAGACCACCGACGCCATGATGTGTTCACAACATCGCCCCCCGAAATTTTGGACCCCTCCCCCTGTACACCCTGCGAAATGCTTTAGAAATCATGGGTTAAGAAATTCATAGTCTCAGAATTTGAATAAACATCCAGAATGTCTATTCAAATCTTGGGATCTACATTGAAACATTAAGAATAATCGAGACTCTGGCCGAAACCTTGGGTTTTCTTAAGCATCGCCTAAGCTGTAGACCCGTTTTTCCTCCTGGTTCGATGTTGTTGACGGTCCGAAAGCCGGGTGGGGGCGCCTGGAGGCAGGAAAAATAGCGACCCCCCCCCCCGCCGAGCAGCGATTGTTTCACCATCGAGAATCCACTTGCCATCGCTCGGACGTCCATTTCCCGTGCATTTTTTTGGTTTCGTGCGTGTTTTTTTGGCTCGGTGGTCCAGGATGGTCCTCGATGGTTTCGGGGATGGACAGACCCCCCTTTAGTAAAACGTGGTTTAGTGAAAACGACCTGAGGCACAAACCTGGCGGGCGCAAGCCTGGAAAATAACGGCCACGGCGCCCTCTCGAGAACCGAAAACGGACAATTCACTAATCGACGTGTCACTGTTGGGGGTTCTGTCCACCCCCGATGGTTCTCGCCGAAAAAAATGCACACGTCCGAGCGAGGCCAGGAGTAGGGGTCTGGGTTCTAGAGGCCGTCAAAATGGGGTCGGCGCAGGTGGGGTCCGGAAATCGCGTCGCATCGCCGATACACCGCTGATACATCGGCGATGCATCGACGATGCACTGGTGACGTCGGCGGTGCATCGGCGTCGCCGGCGTGGAGGAAATCGGGCTCCGCATGAAGCATCATCGTCGATGCATCAGCGATGCGGCGCGATCCTCCGACCCCATCCAGGAGATCCCAGAATGGAATCGACATGTCGGATCGGCGATCGAGATGAATCGGATCGGCGGAAATCGGCAGCGAGTCGGGAAAAGTCGAATCGGCGGAAATGAGCAGGCTAGTCGGCCTCCATTGCGAAATCGGAAGCCACGTCGGAATCCGAAGTCGAATCGAATCAGCATCGAAAGCCATCGACCTCGAATCGAATCGGAGGCATCCAGACGAGCCCTGCCAATCTGCTCCGACCCCATCCAGGAGGCCTGGAGGCTCCCCGATTGAAGAGACCTCTCTCTGGGCCCCGGCGCTTGAGCAGGGACCGACCGTCCCGGCATTCCTATAGTCATATCACGAAATTTTCTTAGAACCCAGATACGTTCTAAGAACAAAAACAATGTGCTTAGAACATAAGACCGGTGTGTTAAACCAAGACAGTCCCGGCAAGAAATACTCTAAGAACATTTCGTGGAATCCACAGAAAGGTTCTTAGAACATTGTTGGGTAGGGCTATACTGTAGGCGAGAACTGGCGTCCTTCAGCACGAGCCCGGCCCGCAGCCCCTGGCCCGGAGCCAAGCCGAAACGCACCACCCCCGCCGCCAGGTCCACCTGGTGCACGGCGGAGACCGGGAGCCAGAACTGCGGAGAGGGGGCGCTCGCAGGCGGCGCGCGCACGGCGCGGGCGAGGTTAAGGCCGCCCTCGAGCCCTCAGATAAGGCGAAGCCAGGGAAAGCACCAAGGCGAAGCCCTCAGATAAGGCGAAGCCCTCAGGAAAAGGCGAAGCCAGGCGAGGAAGGCGAACCCTCAGATAAGGCGAAGCCAGGAAGGCCACCCTCGAACTCTCAGATAAGGCGAAGCCTCGAACCCTCAGATAAGGCGAAGCGGGGAGGATGAACATCAAGTATCTCTAAGATCTGGCGGCTCTGGAGGATGTCTCGGGCGCTGCAGCCTTCCCCATGGGCCCCAGAGCGTGCCGGAACGCTCTCTGAGCGTTCTGGAACTCTCTGGAACGAGCTCATCCTCGTCCTGGCCCCACCCGACCAGAACCAAGATCCCCTCGCATTGTGAACAAAATCGCGACAGGAGTTTCGCTATTTTCGGCCTTTGGGAGCCCTCACCAGGCCCCCAGGGACCCTCAGAACACGACTCGCGATGAAGCGCAAATCCCGGGGAAGGGGTCCGGACCGCTGGGTGTCGACGCTGCGGAAACATCACGACGTCGGGGGTCTGGGTGTGTGTCCTCCTCGGAGGCGTGCGTCCGACCCGAGCATGCAGTGCAGCCGTCTTGTGGTAAATCGTTTCCCGAGCGGTACACCCTGCGAAATGCTTTAGAAATCATGGGTTAAGAAATTCATAGTCTCAGAAATTGACTAAACATCCAGAATGTCTATTCAAATCTTAGGATCTACATTGAAACATTAAGAATCATCGAGACTCTGGCCGAAACCTTGGGTTTTCTTAAGCATCGTGTAGAGTGTATGGCCAGACATCGCCCGCCACGGAGCACATACCAGAAGAGTTCTCGGCGCGCGCTTCGCCCCTGGACGGGGCGGCGCACACCCAGAAAATAGCAGGTCGGTCGAACGCGGAGGGGAGACCAGCACGGAAGGTCGTTCTCCACCCTCGGAGAGGAACTCGCGGAAGCTTTTGGCCGTCTCCATGGCGCCCGATCTCGCGACCGACAGCACGGAGCGCGGACGCAATGCGTCTCCCTCATGTGGGGCCATTGGGTGCTGATGGGCGCAATGTGGGCCATATTCGGCGCCGCTGGGCGCTAGAGGACGCTCTTCGCCTGTGCGCAGATCCCGTGACTTACTATGTAGTTCCTCCACCCTGCTCTGTCACTTCCCAAGACATCCAGTAGACACCCGACCTCCACCCCCCTGGGACCCCCCAAGCACCCCCGTCCGCGCCAATCTCTCTTGGGAGGAGGAGGGAGTTAAAAAGGTGAAGGGTGGCCGGAGGAGCGGGGAGGACTTCCACCTCCTCCTCCTCCTCCTCCTCCTCCTCCTCCTCCTCCTCCTCCTCCTCCTCCTCCTCCTCCTCCTCCTCCTCCTCCTCCTCCTCCTCCTCCTCCTCCTCCTCCCCCCGAAAAGTGAAGGGATCCCCTTTTTCCTTCTATCCCTCCACCCGAGGAGGGGGAGCCGCAAAAAACCCCACCCGAGCGGCGACCTGCAGGACCTCGGCGCAGGCTTCCGCTCAGAGCCGAGGCTGTCGGCTGGTAAGCGCGGCTGCGAGATGCTCAGGCACATCGTTCGCTCGTGCTGCCCCATGCGTCAAAAGCTCGATCACTCGTTCGTTCATTCCTCGTCCTCCTCCCTCTCCAACTGGTCTCATTCTCATCCTCCGCCCACCCGCACTCCCTCCTTCTCCCCTCCCGCCATCCCTCCCCCCCTCCTCCAGAGTTTCCTCACCCTCCTCATCCCCCCTCGTTCCTGCCTTGGGTCCTTCCTTCCTTCCTCCTCCTGCCCCTCCCGTATTCCCTCCATCCATCCATCTATTCCTCCTTACTTGTTTCTCCCTCCTCCACCTCCTCACTACTTCTCCCGCGCTCCCTCTTTCCCCGCTCCCCTGTCCTGCCCAATCCTCATGAATAACCCTCCCATCCCAGTCCTCCTCCTTCGCCACCTCCCCACCTGCCCCCCCATCCTCTACCTCCTCCTCACCCCTCACTCCTCCTCCTCCTCCTCCTCCTCCTCCTCCCCCTCCTCCTCCTCCTCCTCCTCCGCCTCCTTGTCCTCCTCTTCCTAATCGTCCTCCTCCTCCTCCTTCTCCAATTCCTTCTCGTCCTCCTCCTCCTCATTCTCCTCTCCCTCCTCCTCCCCTCCTCCTCCTCCTCCTCCTCCTTCCCCTCCTCCTGCTCCTCCTCAGCCTGCTCTTTCCCTCCTCCTCCCTCCCCCATCCCTCTTCCCCCCTTCTCCTCCTACCTTCTCATCCTCCTCCTCCTCCTCCTCCTCCTTTTCGTCCTCCTCCTCCTCCTCCTTCTCCTCCTCCTCTGCTCCCTCCTCCTCCCCCATCCCTCCTCCCCCTCTCCCCTCCCCCATCCATCCTCGTTTCTTACCTAGGTCTTATTAACCGTGCTAGGTCTTCAGAACCCCCCCACAGTTGGAACTGGTTATCTCTCCAGCGGCCTTCTTGACGCACTTGGGCCCCAATACAATTGGAACATACGTGTTTCTCAAGCGGGACCCGCCGCACAACAACGACAACGACGACGACGACTACAACCGATTCTGACTACCACCACGATGCAACTGCGGCAACGGCTACGACGACGAGTACTGGATTGTGAACAACGCCTTTGGCACACAATGTGTGCGTGCTCAAATGTCCAATGCCGTGCGTGCTCAAATGTCCAATGCCGTGCACGGTAACCTAGCGATCATTATTCGCTGGGAACAACAACCCCAAATATTATCCAGCGCGGTGAACTCTAGTTGGAAACAAAACATCTCCGCGCGACGAGGACGACGAGGACGAGGACGAGGACAAGGACGACGACACCGACTACGATTACGGCTACAATCATGAGTACAATGATGATTACAATTGCGATTACAACCACGACCACAATAACGACTCTAATCACGAAAGCTGAGTCTCATCCTCATGAGAAGATACTCACAAATCCTCTCGCGTGTAGGGTAGCCCCACATGGATTATTCCCTGGGAGAAAAAGAAAAGACCCAACATTATCCAGCCCGCCCAGGTATAGAGGGAACATACTCTCCGCCGCGACGACGACGACAACGACTACGATAACAACCAGGACGAGGAGCAGGAGGACGAGAAGGAGGCGAAGCAGGAGCAGGAGGGGCAGGATGATGATGGGGGCGGAAATTGTCCCCGCCGAGGGAAACACGGGAGGGGGCGAGGGAGAGGCAAAACCGAAGACCACCCACGGTTAACCAACAGCACTCACAATGCAGAAGGGGAAAGGATCCACGTCTGGGGGGCCCCGGAGAAGAGAGCGGCGGAAGCCTGACACACAAATGATCCGGCCTCCACGCTAGCAGAGAGAGAGAGGCTGGAGCCCCCGAAATCCACCCTCCTCCTTCCTCCTGCCTCTCTTTGAACCGGATCGAGCTCGATCGATGGCCCAAAGCTTTGAGCAAGGCCGAAAAGCTCGCTCGCTAGCGTTCGTAGTGCGGTTTCGAATCGCATCACGACTGTTCTCACTCACTCACTCACTCACTCACTCACTCATTCACTCACTCACTCACTCACTCACTCCTCACGCTTCCTGCGTCCTCTTCCTCCCCCCATGCCTTCCTCCCCCTCCTCGGTCCCCTCTACCACAACATGACCCCCCCCATGTTCTTGCCATCTGATCCCCCCCCCCTCCTCCTCCACTTAGACGCAAGAATAGGGGGAGGGGGGGGAACATCGACCTGGAATCGGCGATACATGACCGATAGATCGGCGATAGGCCCCCGACATCGAAAAGACAGCTACTAGACTCAGATCGGTACTCAATGGGAGATTGGGGGTTGATGCATCCCACCCTGAGCCTATCACCCCCTAACGTTGCTCACTGGTTTTCGGGCCATAACTCGAAGCCCCCACGTCCTGTCGGGACCATCCGGACCCCCCCTGAAACGAAACTGCCCAAACAAATCAAACGTCGAACACGAAGCGAAGCCCTGTCGTCCCTCCTACCGCCCCTCCCGCCGAACAGAAAGAAGCGCCTCAAAGGTCGGCTACTTGAACGAACGAATGGGCCGAGGCAAGCGTGACCGGCGGTGCGCAACTTTCGGGGCCTCGGGGAGGCCACACCCGAGCGCGCAAGACGTTGCTATCGCATCGCGTTCAGTCTTCTGAGGACCCCAGTGCGCCCGCACCGAAAAAGCTCACTCCGGCGAAAGGTCAAGATTTCGCGTGACCACGGAGGCGCGGCCCTTGCTTTTCCGCCTCGTCCCCCCGCCCGGCTCCTTCCGTGCCGCAGCTCAGTCCTGGCACGCCCCTCCCGATGCTGTACAGTTAGGGAACCGAGCTCTGTACACCGCCGCTTGTTCCTGCCATGCAATGCAATTTGCCCAGGAAAGCGGATCCTGGTGTATACGGGATCCTGGTGTAGACGTTTTTTCGCAGTTCCCCCGGAAACAAACAGGGACACGAGTATACCCCACACCACCCCGACGTCGCCCCCGACCCTCAAAAAGTCCTGGGATTGAGAAGCAGCCCGCCACTGGCAGTGTAGATGCTACAACTTCCGAACTAGGCGACGAGCCCAGGGGGGAAATGAGAAGGAGAAGGCCTTCTCAGAAGGCCGCGGGACTCCTTAGAAGTCCGGGGGACTTCTGAGAGGTCTCCTTAGCCTATTTCGAACACAGACTGAACTTCTCAGAAGCCCTCTCAGAAGTCCAGAAACTTCTCAGAAGCCTCGGAAGTCCCGCCCCTTCTCATTTCCCCCCCGCGCCCGCCGCCGACGAACAGTACCTGCCTCTCGGGTGCCCGTGCGCCGAAAGGTGGCCGGAGAGGGCGGTGGGCGCGGAGCGGGTGGCCCCGCGGGCGCCTTGGATATCCTGTAGTCCGCGCAGGCCGTGGGGCGGCCGTCCTCGTCCCAGCCCCGAGCCACCACCTGCCCGGGGGGGGGGGGGCGACGGCGGTGTCCCTTTGGCAGGGGCGCCTGGCGGAGTGGCACCCCTTGCCTCGTCGACCAAACGGCTCCCAGAACACGTTCCCGTCCAGGTCCAGGGAGAGGGGGTAGGGGGAGGGATAAACCCTTCCCCGGAGGGGAAGAAGGGGGGCGGGGCGCAGAAGGACACACTTCGAGCAGGGGATCACTTCGAGGAGGGGACCAGTAGCTTTTTACCCCAAAACTCCTTCCCCGTCGAGGCTACGACACAGGATTGCTCTGGTCCGCAGACCCAGGGACTGTTTTCTGCGCATTTTCTTCTGAGCCCAACGAGGGCAGCCATGCTGGGGTAAATCAGTTATGTAGTCAACCCCCTACTCAAATACGAGTGCGAAAACGGCAACGCGCACGAGGTGCATCTCCCACGGCCAAGGACCGCACGAGAGCAACTCTTACCAAAGCGATGGGGCAACCGGAAAAAGGAGGAAGAAAGGGGGAGGGGCCGCAGAAGGACGTTGTATTTCTGCGCGCCCTCCTCGGAGGCGTGCGTCCGACGCGACCATATGCTACTGTGAAAACGTATAGTAAGGGCGCGTGGTAAGGACGCAAGACCCTTGGAGGCCGAAGTTGAAGTATTCTGGGCGGCAGGCGGCCAAACCCCCAGGGGACCTGAGAATCTGGCCTGCGAAAATTGCTAGGGACGGGCCGCAAGAGGCTGAGGCAGGCAAGGACCCAAGGGCACCCTTAAAAAAAAAATGTGTCCTTACTACGCGCGTTGACTGTGCATCCATCTTGTAGTTTATCGTTTCCCAAACGATGCGGCGTGTCGACGGGGCCGAGCCGCTCAAAGTGAAGGGGCCCGGGGGCACACAAACACATAGACACACATCCAAGGATCTCCAATGTTGCGCGCACACGCACGCCCTGGATTATCGTCTTCCCCTCCGCGTCCCACATCTTCCTACCCCGACACTCGGCTGCTCCAATCGTTTGACGGCCTGAGAGGCCTCCTCCAGGCCTCGGGGCCGTCAGAAAACGACTCAGGGCGAAAGAACGGTCCGTAGGGAAGGATCATACCCTCTGGGGCCCAACGCATCGGAAACAAACATAGGAGTTGCCAGATCTCCAGGCACGTGAAACGGTTTCTTATCTGGCGTTTCGGCATTGGGCGGAAGGGGGGGGGCTGGCTCCGGATCTCTGCTTAGCGCGACTGCTTGCAACAGTGCGTCCTAATGGGGAGACGCCACCTGCTCGAAACAGGCGCCATAAACGGCCAAGAAATACCCCAGGAGGAGGGAGAAGGGGGGGGATGCGAGAGCCCGCGCCGATCGGCAAAACAACGACGAAGAACAGGACGGGCATATATTACTGGGAATAGACGCTTGATTGTGCCCGCGTCCAGACGAAGCGGGGACGTCTCCAGACCAGGGGCGGAAGAGGACAGCCCCGGGAGAGGGCGCCAGGCCGAGACCCAGGCCGAGAGCGGACCAGGACACCAGCGGGGGACCTCACCGAAATCGCCGGCGGCTCTGGAGGCTGTGGCGGGCGCCGCGGCTGTCCAGGAGCGCTCCTGGAATTATGGAAGGCGCCGATGAGCGATGCGGTGCGACCTCCTCCTGCGTCACCCTTCTCCTCCTCCTTCTCCACCTCCTCCTCCTCCATCTCCTCCTCCTTCTCCTCCTGCTCCTCCTCCTCCTCGCCCCTCCTCCTCCACCTCCTCCTCCTCCTCCTTTCCCTTCTCCTCCTCATCCTCCTCCTTTTCCTCCTTCTCCTCCTTCCCTTCGTCCTCCTCATCCCCCTGATTCCCGATTCCTGATTACGTGAGGAGTCGCTGGCTGCCGCCTCCCCTCCCACCTCCTCCTCCTTCTCATCCTCCTCCTCCCCCTCCTCCTTCTCCTCCTCCGCCTTCTCCTCCTCATCCTCCTCCTCCTCCTCCTCTTCCTCCTCCTCTCCTCCTCCTCCCCATCCTCCTCCTCTTGCTCCTACCCTGTTCCTCGTCGTCTTCCTCCTCGTTTTCCTCCTCGTCCTCTGCTCGTCCTCCTTCTCCTCGTCCTCCTCCTCCACCTCCTCCTCCTCCTCCTCCTCCTCCTCCTCCTTTGGTCCTATTATGCTCCTCATCTGCTCCTCCTCTGCTCCTCCTCCTCCTTCTCCTCCTCCGCCTCCTCCTCCTCCAGCTCTTCCTCCTCGTCCTCCTCCTCGTCCTCCTCCTCCTCCTCTTCCTCCTCCTCATCTTCCTTCTCCTCCTCCTCTTCCTCCTCCTCCTCCTCTTCCTCCTGGGTTCACAGGAGACGGCGGAGGAGGCGGAGGAGGAGGGGGAGGAACTTACCCCGAGGAGGCACAGGGGGCGGAGGATTTGTTGACATCAAAATCAATAGAATTGAGTGCCCGCTCCAACCAGGAGAGCAGGCCTGGCTGGCAAGGGTGCCGGTGAGAAGAGAAACTAACGCCTAAAGGCGAAGGAGAGGCAGGAGGCCACAAAGACATCTCTTGCTGGCAAGAGGACTCCGCGTGGCCAGCTGCCTCTCCCCAGGCGTTAGTCGGATCCAGAATCAGTCTCATCTCGAGGCGACTGCTTCAAAAAAAGAAGGGGCCTCGTCTCGTCATTCTCCTGCCAGAGAGAGGATGAGACACCTCGCAGCGCAACACAAAGATATTCTTCAAAAAGGAAACGGCCCGCCTCCTCCTCGGCCTCCCAGTCACCTCCAGTCCCTGGTGGCGCAGGGGCAGCCTGCGACACAGCAGGAAGAATACTGTTCGTTCCCCCCCCCCCGCTCCCGACTCCGCCCCGTCCCCACCGACCCTTGAGACAAGAGGATGGGAGCCCGGCGGCGGAAAAGCGCCTGCATGACTCGATGCACGGTCTCCTCCCAGCAACGCCCACGGCCCACGCTCGACCGTGACGTTGGGACGCTTCGGGTGGAGGCCCCTGCAGATCGGGTGCCACTTGTTGTGCCTCTTCGAGCGAGTGGGGCCGGAACGGTTTTCAGCAGGGCCGCTGGCTCGCCCATGAAAAGAATCAGAAAAACACTTGGTACATATGGCAAGTGAAGCGTTACCTGAGCACTCAAAAGGCAAACGCCTGTGCCCCCTCGCCTCGAGACTTGTCGGATCGAGCCCACGGACTGGCACACACCGAGTCGGGGGAGGCGGGGGGCCATGGGTGGGCAGGCGACTGACTTTAGCACAAGCCGACCAATGCCAAACACCTGACACTGAAACAAGCACAACCTGCTGAATGGATACCCATTGGCAGGTAGGTGAATTAGCCGATTGGGGGTGGGGTTCTTTAGGCGGCTGGCTCCACGCAACATCCTGGAGGTCCAACTTCGGCCATTTGGGCACAAGTTTCGCAGCAAAAATGGCCACGGCCATAGACATCTGAACATGCAAGCCAAGTCTGCTTATGGCCTCATCGGATGGCTGCGGGTGCCCAAGATACACCTGCCCAGCTGACGCGCTCATGGCTCCAACATCGGCGTGATGGTTTCCAAAACGGCACATCTTATCGTGATCGTCGGCCCACTCATCGAGCGACAAATGGGCCTTTACTTTGATGGAAGGGCGAACCCTCCAGATATCACTAAGGAAGAAGAGAGAGAGAGAGAGAGAGGGAGAGAAAAAAAAGAGAGAGAAAGAGAGAGAGAGAGAGACACACAAAAAAAGAGAAACCCCTATAGCACCGCATGGGCGACAGCTGGTCGACTCGGGGTCGATCGAAGTGATCTTTGACCAGCTGTGCACCCGCGTAGAAGTCTGAAGGGTCAACAGAATACAAGACAGCCTGACAGATAGCTGCGGACTCTCCCGCAAGGGCGGTCTGTGGGTAGCACGGAGGGACCAGGCCGTGCATCTTTCCCAGAAGATTGCCATGGCCGTCCACGGCCACGAAACACCAACCTGCCCTGCTGAACTCGCGGACAACATGTTTAAACGCACTGCCATCCGTAAACAGGTTACCCCTGAAAAAGGAACTCGCCCACTTCCTGACGAAGGCCCTCCCTGGCCCAGAACGCCCCAGACGCCTCGGCCGCAGGACCGGAAAATCATCCCCAGGGTGCGCGAAAGCCCCGAAACAGGACCTAACCGAATTAGGCCCCTCGAGGACCATGCGGGCAATTTCGGTTCTAACAAGGCTGGAAGGAAGCTCGGCAATCTCCCGGTAACCGCAGGCCCAGAGGCTATGGTGGAGCGTGCCAACAGCAGCACCGCAGAGGGGGCAGGTGGGGTCTATCTGATAACCCAGCCGGTGAGCTTTCGAACGAGTCCAGACAGCATCCGTGGCAACTGCTCGCATGCACCTTTCTCAAAAGCGGAGCATCTTGCACGGCGAAGCTCGGCCTTCGGAACGTCGAAGCAGAGACGGTAAGGAACATCCGATTTGGCACCTGTTTCCCATTCAAGAGTCCTGAACACAGCCTCATCGGAGATGTTGCTTGATGAGCTGGGGGGACATGAGGGCCATGGAAAGCTCGACCCCCTTGTCAGTGACGAAAGTGGCGAAGTCCCTCATCGTCCACGAGACCCTCTCCAAGGACAAGCGCATGGCGGCCGCGGGGCTCCCTGCGGCTCGCCACGAAGGAGACTCCTGAAGAAAAGCGCCTTCCCAGGCTAGCCGCAGCTCCCTGAAAGAAATTGAGCCTTGAAAGGCCCTGACCTGGGTGCACCGCACTTCCTTGTGCCACCGCAAGATCGGAGACGCGGCCCCGACCCGCGCGGGGTCTCCCTGGAGGTGGGGCAAAATCGCAAGGGAGCGCTGGCCAGCCGAAGGCTTTCTGGTTTTTGCCGCTGCTCGGCGGATCAGCAGCAACTCGTAGTCGGTGGCTCTTCTAATCGCACTGCCACGCAGCAGGCCAGGGAACGGACCCGCAAAAAAAAACAGAACAAACAAAAAAACGCGCAGATTTATCCCGGGGCCCAGAGCCTGTCTAAGTGTGGCCACCCTGGCCGTTCGTTTTGTCTAAAAAAATGCCTCCTGATACCGAGCTTCCTGCTTCGACGCAGGG